TGGCCTCACAAAACAAGCAGTTGAAATAGTCAGCTGAAGTACTGGAACTGCTTCTTAAAACAGAAAAATGTAGGATATAGGAACTATTAACTGATGCAGTTATTATGGGTTATAGAAGAAAACAATGTGCTTTACACATTTAAACTTAACATCCCAGGTTGAAGTTCACCACAATATCTTCTTTCAAAACTCTGTATTCATATACATTAATCATTAAATTCAGATGTTTTTACAATTTAAATTCTCAAAGTGTTGCTGAATGTTGAATGGATTCTAAGCAGGAATGAATCTCAATGTTCATTCTGCTTTCTTAGTAACAGAGGGATATGATCACTTATGAAGTTGAGAGGAATGTCAAATTTGTCTTTACAAACAAGCTGTGGGTCTGCTGGTAGATAAGACCAGCACTGTGAGATAAAAGAAACAATGGGATGGATTCCACTGATTGATGAATGGAAAAAGTTATTTGCCTTTACAGACAAACTGTAGGGTTGCTGATAAATGAGACTGGGTATCAAAAGATGAAAGAAGCAATGGGGAAAAAACTATGAATTCTATAAGAATTAAAAATTAAAAGGGAGAGTTATACATTAGAGGGGAATTTCAGGTATCAGGCGTTCCGGGAAGTCTGTGCCTCTCAAGTACCTAAGCCAATGGGGAAAGAGAGAGGGAAATGCAGCCAGGAAAATGGGATAAAAAGGGAGGCTGCGTCCTCCAAAAATTTGAGAGACCCCAGGGGAATGTTCCATGGCCTCTCCCTTTATTCAAATAAAGCAGAAAGGACTCCTCTATCTCCTTTTCGGACAGAAATCTCTTGTGTTTGTGGATTAATTTTCCTGACAATGCAAATATAGTGAGTTTCACCAAAGCATGTGTTCTATCTAATGCGTACATAAGGACAGTAACACGTGTGTATAAAGATTCAAAAGTGAAGAAAGTAATAAGGAAAACATCTGCAATAATAAGAGCAAATTCTTCTATTCCATTTTAGAAGTCAAAAGAACTCATTTCATGGAACATTTGAGGATTTATAGAGGGATGAAGGAAATTTTTACTGTTTATTTTCTCAAAATTTTCCTATGTAAGTAAGTATTCCTATCTTGGGGAAGAGGCTGATACCATTTTCCCTCTGTTTCCATACCCACAGTTGGCAGCAGGGGCCACCATCTTGGGAGTGGGCAGTACCCTGCCATTTTGGGAGTCTCCTTGTTCCCACAGGGCTCCTGAGGTTTAGCAATTTTGTGTTAAGTGATTATTTACTGGTTGTTTTGGGAGTTTTGTTTTGCCTGTTGCTGTTTTGCATGTTAGTAAACCGCTATTTTTAAATTTATATCTACTAATATTTGTTCCTTATAGGCAGAAAGGGATTGGTTGAAATTAGGGGGAGGTAACTAATTTTGGAGTGTCCACATGACAGAAAGGGAGCAAGCCCAGAACAGATGTCTTGGTATCAAGAAAAAGAAACTCCTCCAGCAAAAGTCAAAGCACAAGCTGTAGGAAACTACAAGAGCCAGAAAACCTTCTGGTTTTGTTGTCCTCAGACACTTTTTTCTATAAAACTTCCAAAAGTTTCAATTTGATTCACAAAACATGAAAGATTAATTGAAATTTCTAAAATTTACTTATTTTCATTTTCAACACAAAACAAACTTCATACATATTTCACTGCATCTGTACTGAGCATATAAACCAAGTGTCTGCAATAATCACATATTTCAGTAAGTATTCCAAAAATGTAACTTTTATGCATGGCCTCTGGGATCAAGGCCAGTTGTAGCTACAAGATGGTCTACACAGCTGCTACCACATCACATGAACCTGGAGAGTGCCAAGATAAAGGGAAAGAAATAGGACCCAGCCATAACCCCCTCTTTCTTTAAACGGTTTTCCATTTCAACTCCCCTGTATTGGTCTGCAACATCATATGTCCTAGAAAAAGAATCATAAAATTGTGGAATTCCCTGAGTTGAAAGGCACCCACCCATCACTCAAGTTCATCTCCTGGCCAGGCACAGGACACCCCAAGAATCACACTGCATGCCTTAGAGCATTGTCCAAACACTTCTTGATCTTGGTCAGGCTTGGTGCTGTGACCCCTTCCCTAGGGAGCCTGTTCAGCCACCCTCTGGGTGAAAAATCCTTTTCTAATGTCCAGCCTAAACCTTCCCTGACACATCTTCAGGGCTTTCCCTCACATCCTGTCACTGTCAGCACAGAGCAGGGATCAGTGCCTGTCCCTCCTCTTCCCCTCCCAAGGAAGCTGTAACTGCAGTGAGGTCTCCCCTCAGGTGCCCCTTCTCCAGGCTGAACAGACCAAGTGCCCTCAGCCACTCCTCACACCTTTGGCTTCCCCTCCAAACCCTTCCCCATCCTCATAGTCCATACATATACGCTGCCCTGCGATGCGCACACACAGACAGTTGCTCTCCAAGGAGTGAAAACAGTTCAGAAAAAATGCATTCCAACACTGAGAATACGTGCCAAAATACTGGAGTGAAATACTGACACAACAGGAAAAAATGTCAGAACAAAGCATCAAAGTACAAAAAGTGTTGCATGGGGCAATGCCTAAAAGCATCCTGTGACAAGCTGACAAGAAAATCTTGAATTTGAATGCATTTAAGTCAAAAAATAGTTTGACAAAGGGCTGACAAGGAAGTTATGAGGCACAAAGATTCTTAACTCTGGAAAGCCACTGAGGTTTAAAAAGGGAGAAAAAAACAAACCACTTATTTTCAGCAATGACTAACTAAGTGAGAAGAAAACAAAATTGTTGGATGAAGAAGGGCCAGAAGTATGTCATCAGTGCTTACAATAAACTTTCAAAGCAAGTTCTTTCAGTGTTCAGAGGAAATGGAAAGGAAAATTGAAGTTATGACCAAGTAGGCTACCCAGACGGAACAACTTTAATTGATGTGAGGCCAGGCTGGCACTGGCTGGATTCATAGAAGCACAACAGGCTCCCTGCTCCAGCTTTTGTCTTTCTCCTTGCTAAGATGCACAATGGAACTTAAGACTGGCATTTGTAGCAATTAGTTTTGCATGAAATATCAAGACAAAAAGGAAATAGCTCTTTATTTTCCTTAGAAGACCTTCCCGTCTGGATTTTTTTGCATCCACTTTTACACTCACTGCAAACAAATACAATCTAGATATAAGATTATATCCAGTAATTCTTAAACGTATATTGACATCATTGTGTGTACCACATTCAACAGTAATCTTTACTCAGGTATAGTCAAATTCAGCTCCTTCTTGTGTAGATCACTATAACTGCCTGACATTGGTGGTACTACAAAGAAAAGTTCACTCTGTGACAGTTGGCTGACTTTCACAAAACTGGATATAACTGTCCAAGTCAGAATTTTTATGAAGCAGCAGCTGTGGTAAACACCCCTCATCTGCAGTGAGACTCAAAGCTCTCTCAGCAAACATACACTTTAAATGAAATTCAGCTCCTGCTGGAACAAAATTCCTTTACTACAAGATGAAGGGAGGAGTTCAAAGTCTTTTCAGTTGGCTCTTTACTGATGCAGATGAAACCTAGACTGCTACTGAACATCCAGCACCACTTTCAGAAACATCCTAAATGGAACTCGAAAGTAATACTTTGAAAGGACGAGCTTGGCCTAACCTCACTTGTATGTAAGGCTTGATAAAAAAGTGCAGTCAAGGGTGATTTTGCTGCAGTTCACTCACAGGAGATGCCTAAGCACCAGTTTGAAATCAAACATTAAAATATTACAAGATTCAAATGCTGCAGATAAAATGTATTACAGAGACAGCTGACAACAGTTGTATTTGTTTAAATATTCAGACTTCAAAGCAGAATTCTAGGCACAACAGTGCCATCCAGGGGCCAGCTATTCGCCGGTCAATGTCCAAAGAATTTCCTGAAAATGTTTTATTTTGTTGGTTTTTGGTGGGGTCTTTTTTGGTTGTTTTTTTGCGGGGGAGGGCTTAGTTTTTTGTCATTTGGGGTTTTTTTTGTTTGGTCTTTTGTTTTGTTGGGTTGGTTGTTTGGTTTTGGTTTTTTGTACAAACAAAACTCGGTTTGTTTAAAACGATTTCCCTAAATATTTTCAAATATGACCTAATTTCTTTTCAATACTGCAGCAGATAAACAGGAATGCAGAAAAAAACCTGATTCATTCTCTAAACATACTAAGCTTTGCTTACATTTAAGCAAGGGTTTTGCAAAAGTTTCAATAGAAGAGTATTTGTAGCAATTTAAATCAACAAGTTCTTCTAGCACAATGAAAGGGCAATGATGAAGAAAGCTCCGTTGAAACTTTGCCAAACTTTTCCGACTGAAACATCACTCATTGCAAATCACATGCTTAGCCACACCTCACCACACCTATTTAAAATTAATTACGGATGTAAAATCTCACACGACCAAAGCTTCAGGACGTACAGTTACACAACCCTAAATCTTCCTTCTGCACAAATGGAAAACTCAATCTGTGAGGCAGTTTGAGAATGGAGGCTGGTTTGTCAGGGCGGGGACAGAGCAAGGTCAGGAGGCACGGCAGCGAGCACGGCTTGCTCCTGTAACGCCTTCCACTCCGCAGCAACAAGGGGGGACAAATAAGGACCCAAAAACATTTCTAAGATTATAAATTAGTCGTGGGGGCAGAGGCCACTCCAGTTTACGGATTTACAAGCGTACATCCCCTGCGGCCTTGGATTCAGCCAGCGAAGCTATCCCCGCTGCAACGCAGGGAACAACGGCGCGCCGCTTCACCTTCCCGCTCGTCCCAGGCGAGCCTTTAAAGAACGGCCTGGACACACGGGCGGGCCGAGTTCGGGATCCGCCTCCTGCTGACGCCACTCATGACGCTTGAGCACCTGAAGAAAAGCCCCAATGGAAGCTCTTTAACCCCGCTTTGGAGGGAGGGCTCCGGGGCGGGGCCGGGCCGGGCCGGGCCCTCGGCGCCTGCGCGCGGTTTCGGTTCGTGCGGCGGCGGCGGCGTGGGGAGCGCTCGGAGCCAGGGCACGGCGGGACCATGGCTCCTGTGCTGAACCTCAACAACGAGGTGAGACCCTCGGGGCGGCGGTGGGAGTGGGCGGGGGTCTCGGGCCGGTGGGAGGTCAGCGGCGGCGGATTGCCCTGCGAGCGAGCCGCCCCAGGGCCGACCCTCGCCGCAGCCGGTGTGGCTGCCTGGAGCCCTAGGGAAGGCCTCAGGAGGGTGCCGCCGGCCCTCGGCCTGGGGAACCGCATCCCATCGTGTTGGAGCTCAGCTGTGACGAAAACAAACATCCGTCGGCTGAAGTTAGGCTTCTTGTAGTGGGCTGCCACGCGGTTTCGACATCCTGTGCCTCGGTGCGACATCCTGTGCCTCGGTGCGACATCCTGTCCCTGAGTGCCATTCCATCGCGCCTATCCTGCTGTGTTTGTGTTCACACTGGAGTTTTGCAGGTGATCTAGCGGACCCACCAAAGCCCTAGCTGCCTGTCTCCTGGATGGCAAAGATACTGCCTTAGTTTCTTGGACATGGAGGGACTGAAAATGAAAAATTAATGGATTACAGCGAAGTTCTCCCTGTTCTGTAAGAACTTTAGTGTGTAATATTTATTTTAGTATACGTATTTTTTTCTCATTATAGTGTAAATTCGATTATGAGTGTTTCATTTGTGATGGGTTTTGGTTACATACTTGCAACTCACTGTGCGTAGTAAGCCTGCCATAGCTAAAGGAACCTCTTATTAGGTGTTGCACCAACAGTTTAGAATAGATAGCAGTTCTGCTGACCATGTATGGTATAAGCACCTGCATTTGGCACTGTACACTTCCAGAATTTCTACATAGTTAACAGCTTGATTACAGTTACCAGCAGAACAAAAATTACTTTGTTTTAGGCGTGTAGTAACTTGGAGAGGGGTGGAAATTGTTTTCCTAGTCAAGAATTTAGTGAAGTGTAACCTCTTCATCAGGAAAAATGTTTGATAGTACATAAAATCGAGATACTTACTCAGTAGTTTTTGATTCTTGCTGTTAACAAGTGTAAGGTCAGATGTGACATTGAACTATACCCATAAATCACCAAGGAAAGAAGAGGGTTCTTCATTCATTGTTGTAGTGGATTTCTTGTGATTGATTCATGTTCGGGTGATGTTTCATAGTCTTTCAGCACAAAAATGGTAATATAACAAGGGATGAAAACATTATTTGACTGAGGAGTTCTTCAGAAAAAAGTACAATAGATATCTTTACAAAAGATTGCAAGATTTCAGTAAGGACACTGGGAGTGTAATTTCGTCTTGTACTTCAAACATAACCTTCTCCTAAGAGGAAACTGAAAGTTCTGGAGGAGGTAGCTTTTACCAGTTTCTACAAAAAGTAAACACTGTAATAATAGGTCCCTCTGAGATGTAAGGTAGGATAGAGACTGAAATCCTGTATGCCATCTCTTCAGGAGGGACAGAGGATCATTCTGGCTTAGAGCAGGATGGAGACCTAGCGTGAATGGATTAAAAGTGTTTTCCATTTCTATGCATATGTCCTTTTGTAAGTGTCGGAGCTGTATTAATTAAAATTGGTGTTTAGTTATAAAATGTGAAATAAATTATTTACCGATACCATGATGTTTCATATCTGTGTAACAGATACCTCCGTGTATTTGTTAGAGGTGCCCTTGTAAGAAAGCATTTTAAGAGAAAAAATCATATCTTCCTCTAATAAGAGATGAAACAGAGAAATTTTATTAGGACCGTGTTTAAAGGAATAATTTTTGAAAATACATTCTATTAAATAATGTTTTTTATGTATTTCTCCGATTTGCTAAGGGAAAGCAAATTAGAGAGCAGCTCTATTCTGTGCGCCTTCAGTTTTTCGCAGTCAGACAGTACCAGGGGTCATAGGGATTTTTCCTCGTTAGGCCATACACAGTAGGCATGTTGGTATTTGTTGCAGAGGCAACCTTGTGAGCCTTATATAGCTGATAAACTTGTTTGTCTTTGCTGGATTTACAGGAGTCCAATATCTGAAGGGAGTTTGCAAGAAGGCTGGAGAGAGACTTTTCTCAAAGGCTTGTAGAGATAGTTCAAGAGGGAATGGCTTTAAATTGAAAGACAGTAGATTTAGATTCGATACTAGGAAGAAATTTTATGCTGTGAGGGTGGTGAAGCGTGTGTTGGCCTGTGAATATTTGGATACCCTGTCTCTGGAGGGGTTCGAGGCCAGGTTGGATGCACTCTGGATGCAACCTGGTCCAGTGGGAGGTGTCCGTGCCTATTGCAGCAAGGTTAGAACCGGGTGGTCTTTAAGGCCCCATTCAACCTAAACCATTCTATGAAATTCTGTGATATATTTACATATTTCAGGTTTTAATTCTTGCAAAGAAAGGCTTCTGCTTTTAATTAACATAAAATACCACCTCCTGCTAAATAGTGGAATCTTAAGAAAATCTAGGATGATGGATTTCAAGTTGGTTTTTTTTACCAATTCACATTTTGTTTACAGGAAGAACAAATATTCTTAAGACCAGTGTTCCTCCTCAGTGATACAAACTGGCACTTATCTTAATGTTAATTGACCTTTATTTTAATTATTTACTGGTTTATATTTGATATTAGTAGCTAACAAGTAGTTACAAGTGTCAAAAAATGTACTTGTTCTGCAGTGTCTACTAGATGAGGTGTATATGTGCCTTGAAACTAGAGGACATTTGATTGCTGCTGCTGATGATGAAGAAGATCCTCCATGGAAGTGAGAGAAATAATGGACTGTGATGCCAATGTCCTTTCTGAGAGCTTTTGAACTCATTGGCTAATTTCAGAGAAATTGGAAAGGAGTGGAGACATCAAAAGTTATTGGCTTTGAGGGCTTTTTAATTATAATTTAGTTAAAAAATAGTACCTCCATGGAGCAATATTCTCCCAACTGTTCTGATCTATAAGGAACAAAGAATGGAAATGTTGTAGTGTTTAGGTGAGCATATGAATGAGACACTTAAGGTAGCTGTACAATGTTAAGGAGCCAGGGTGAAAAAAGGAAATTGCAATTGTTGTGATGAGGTGAAATAAGACAGGAAATAATAAAAAACCAATCATAATCAATTATTCACAAATAATTAATTTAGATGTTTCATTAATCTTTCTTTTCATGAAGAGTTGTTTAAAGTAGTGTAAATGCTGTACAAAAACATAACACTATTTCCATGTAAACAAGTAGGACTTGTGCCAAAAGTGTATAAATGTTTTCTTTGTTTTTCTCTAATTGAATATGTACCTAGATAATATCAGAAAAAAAGCAAGGTCTTGGCAGAACCCACAGCAATGTCCAGTAGTTTTTGGAAGCCATCTTGCTACTGGTAAATAGCATGGTACAGTTTCAGTGTGACTGCATGTCTGAAAAATTGAGATTGAAAAGGGTTAAGAAATGCAACTTTTTTTGTAATTCGGGCATTGTATTACTGTATGGAATTGCTGCATTTTGATTACTGCCCAAGGAAGAATTGTAAAAAAACATAGAAAATTGGAACAAAGTGAAGCAGTGAAGAGTAGAGTTCTTGGGAAAGAAGCAAATGCAGTATTCTTACCATTTTTCTACTCATTGCATTCATTGAAACAAAGGAAAAATATAAGTCCTAGAATTAAAACTTCAATTTTGCAATTACATATTCACTGCATATGGTCTTACTTTTGAGGGTTTATCTGTATTAAACCTAATGGTATTCTCCATTTGTCCTTACTCTTGCAAGCATGCAGGCTGAAGGAATCGTTTTAAAAACCTGTTAAAAAAATCTGTTACTGTCTTGAGTATGTTTCCCATTTTAAAAAGCTTTCTAAAAAATTTCAGGTGTCTTGCCACAGAATAGCTTCCAAAATTAAACTTTTCTGGAAACATTTGCTAGATGGCAGCACATAATCATCAACTACCATGGATAAGGGCAAGTTTAAAGGGAGATAGCTCATGTTTAGTGTGAAAAATTACCCTTGTTGATCAGCAGCACATGAGAGTATGAAACAACAGCTGTTGAATGGGAGCCCTACAGATTTCTAGGGTTTTTTTCAGGACTTGTGTTTCCTAAATTATGTTTTTCTGTTTTTGCAGTCATAATCTGCTATCAATATTGTGTTATTGCAAACAAATACAGTTATCTTTCTACCCTCCTTTTTTTTCTTTGTTTTTTTTCTTTTTTTTTGAATAGTATTCTGTTTGCAGCTACCTCAAGGAGCTATGCTGCAGAAAGCTCATGAAGCTAATGCAAATGAAGTCTGTATACAGTGTTTTAAAAATAAGTGTTCTAATGTGTACCTCCATAAGTGCTGTAATGACTAAAGATGAATATTAGTAAGATATCTTATAAAACAAATCCTTAGAGTTGAGAGTCACTTCTGTTTGTGGGGCATGCGAATCAAATTTTCCAGATTGTTAGGATATCAAAGCTTTGGTAACAGGTGAATTTTTCTCTTCAATTTGTAATAATTATTCACATGCAGAAAAAGAATTTTTCTCTGTATTTACGAAGCTACAGGTTTTAGATAATAAAAGCTGATGTCTACATAAGGCTTGTCATCCACAGCAGAATTGTTCTCTTTTTTTCCTGAAAGATTGGATCAAGATAAAACCAAATCTTGAGAATGATGTGTATGCACACGTAGTTTTTAGCCTGCCAAGCAAAGTCCAGAATTAAAATTTTTATATAGGAAGCTTGGTAAGGAAGCTCAAGTTGATAAATTCCATTCATAATATTTTGGGTCACAGTGTTTTATGTTGTGATACTCTACATGGCAACACTCAGCTCTTCTGCCCTTTAGCTTTAGGGCTGACATCCTGGCCTCAGATTTAGCTGGGCAGCAGTTTAGGTAGTGGCACATTTAGAAATTCTGGACATGTGAATTAAGAATTTATATTGGTATGGCAAAGTCAAGTATGAGTGGCTGATAATGAAAAAATTCAGGCAAAAAGCCATAGGGAATAATCTGAGGGAGAAAGACATACAGTCCCTGGAAGTCTGAAACTGCAGTCTTGATTTTTAGCTGTAGTTTAGTAATTAAACATAACTGTGTCTGTAATTATAGAATCTTTTAT